GCCAGGACCTGCTTTTGATTTTTTAGTTTCCAAGCTTCACATGCATAATATACATGTTTAGCTTGCGGGGGGGTATTAGTATATAGGTTAGATTTATTGTACAGTTGCTATAGCAACTATAGGTCTTTTATGTAAAATAGATTTCTTGTACAGTTGTGTGAATAACAACTATAGGATCATATGTAATTTACATTTCTACCCCTCTGCCCCTTTGGTAACCCTAAGTATAAAAGGGCTGCTACCCCATTGTACACTTTACTTTTCCTTTTCCCGATTACACATCTAATGCAATCTTTCCTTTCTTCTTCATCTTCTTCAATCTGTTCAATCTCCATTGTTATGCAAGCTTTGTATTCTAACATTTCTCTCTCCTTAATCAAAGCCACAAAAAGGGGGATGAAGATTGAATGAATATAGTAACTTACTTTAGGCATTAATGTAGTTATTTATTACATATTAGGTAGAGATGTAATAATTTATTTATGGATTGTATTTTTGTAATTTTTTCAAAATCTGGTAGGATAAATTAAAATTTCCCATTAGTATATCTTTATTGGAAAATACTACAATCCCGTAACGGGACCATTCCCTCATATCAAACTCCAATAAAAAACTAACACATGTAAGAGTCCATATAAAAACTACCACATCTAAGAGTCCATATAAAAATTAACACATCTAATGGTTTATATTGATTTGAGGGAATCATTCCCTCACGGGATTGTAGTGTTTCCCATCTTTATTATACCATTTACTGGGGGATAAGATAATAAACATATATGCACAATGTAAAACTTGCCAAGAAATTTCTGGAAGCTAATTAATGCCAGCAACTTGGATGTTTTTACTTACCTACCAAGAATGTCATTAAGGAACTTGGATTAAAAGACCTAAAAATGTCGTCAGATGTGTCACATGACTCACATCCTCAAGAAAAGTTTGTACTAACTAGCTATTTTACGACCAAATCATCTGTTAATGAGTCAAGAAAAAGTTTGTAGATATTTAAGATAAACCTTTGACTTTCGTGATACGAGATTAGAGCACGCCGCATTTGCGTAATCATTTTACAGAATCGAATGAGATCTATTACGAGAAAGAGCCAAAGTTTCATAATTATTCTGGAATTTATTTATTTATTTATTTTGTTTTCATTTAGGGAGACGCGAGAGAGGCTGCAGAACTGGTTGAATGACTTTGAACTTGGGCAGTTTTATTATCCGATGTAAAAAGGTACTCCATTTTAGGTGAGTTGAGTGGACTTTGGTTAGGACTTTCATGTGAAATGTGAATGACTAACACTTATCTTAATTTGTACTACAAAAAATGAAGGATAATAAAAAACCTTCAAAATCAAGATATTACCATTATTACCACCCTTAATAAAATTATTATGAGAAGCCGTGTATTAGTTACCGCGCCATCATTAATTACACTGGACTAATATTAATATACCACAGGTGAATGTGAAAATTTTATATATAACCCAGTTTCAAAAATTAATAATGCAGTTAATTAAAAAATTGAGAATACCAACAAGAACGCCGTAAAATAAAAAAGAGAAGACAAAAAAATCACGATTTTTTTTTTTTTTGTTCACTTTACAAATTTAATCATGGCTTTTTAACTTTTACTCATGTTAGTATCGTCTCCTTTTTATTTATTTACAAAGTGAAGTGATGTCTTACTAAAAAATTGGCCGGCCACCACTATCGTCTATCGATAAGGTATCCATAAATTGATACTCCGATCCATTTGAAGAAGGAAATGTGGGATAATTGTCGCGAGCGAGCGAGCTACGACAACCGCCTGTCCTGTCGTCTTCAACTACCTACACATTAAATTAATGAATACTACCTATACACACTAACTAAAAAGGATCTTATATTAATTATTACAAAATCTTAATACATATATATATATTAATTAGACATTAATGCTGCCTGCAATGCAATTGGGTGTAACATGCATTTTGGTCTTTGTCTCCTTAATTTCATTTCCAAATTCCACCACTACTCAACTGTTCCTTTGTCACGCCTTCAAAACCAAAGTCCACATTATTATTCCATTTAATTACCTTTTATCATCATCATCATCATCATACTGATACAGATGAAAGAAAGAAGAATTACCAAAGAAGAACGTGGTAAACGGTAATAATAAACTTTGACTCTTGAAAAACTCTCTCAACTACTCCTCCATCGATCATATGTCTCTTTTTTTTTTTTGTTTTTTTCCAGTCTCCAGATTCGTACCTTATTATTCGCACTTTTGATTGATAGTATATATATCTCTTTCCTTAAGTACGTACCTTATTATTATTATTATTAAGTATTATATATATATATCTATCTATCTATCGTTTGCTTCAAGTCATAGCTACCACCAATCCAACTACTTACTACAACAACTGCCTAGCTATATAGCTTATCTCCCATCCCTCCCAACCAATATTTTTTATACATATATCTTCTTGATTATACTTGCATTCTCAACAAACTGAACAAAATCTCTTGGTATTGGAAGCTCGATTTTAATCATGGCGCGCCCCGCGCTAATAATGTATATCCTCATAATCACGACCGCCTCCTTCGTTCAGCCGAGATTTGTCGTGGAGAAAAGCAGCCTCCGCATTTTGTCCCCGTCCCGTCTCAAGTCAACCCACGACGCCTCCATAGGAAACTTCGGTGTACCCGACTACGGAGGATTCCTCGTCGGGACCCTCAAATACCCCAACAAAACCCCCTTCGCTTGCTCCCCCTTCGACGGGGACAAGCCTTTCAAGTCAAACTTCCCTCGCCCGACAATTCTATTAGTCGATCGTGGCGACTGCTATTTCGTGCTCAAGGCTTACCACGCCCAGCTGGCGGGCGCTTCGGCAGTCCTCGTGGCCGATACAATCTACGAGCCTCTGCTGACCATGGACTCGCCCGAGGAGAGCTCCGACTCCGACGGCTATGTCGACAAGATCAACATCCCGTCAGCGCTGATCGAGCGCTCGGTTGCTGACTCACTCAAGGAAGCTCTCTCCAACGGGGAAGAAGTAGTGATCAAGCTCGACTGGACCGAGTCGATGCCCCACCCGGACCAGCGAGTCGAGTACGAGTTCTGGACTAATAGTAACGACGAGTGTGGGGTACGATGTGACGATCAGACGAGCTTCGTCAGTAGCTTTAAGGGGAATGCTCAGCTGCTCGAGCGGGGCGGGTACACCAAGTTTACGCCGCACTACATCACGTGGTATTGTCCCCAGGCTTTTGTGCTGAGTGATCAGTGCAAGTCTCAGTGTATTAACCATGGGAGGTACTGTGCGCCCGATCCGGAGGATGATTTTGGGGTCGGGTATTTGGGGAAGGATGTCGTGCTCGAGAATTTAAGGCAGTTATGTGTTCATAGGGTGGCGAACGAGACGGGACGGCCATGGGTTTGGTGGGATTACGTATCGGATTTTCACATCAGGTGCTCAATGAAACAGAATAAGTACAGTAAGGATTGTGCTCTGGGGGTCATCAAGTCACTCAGTAAGTATTGTTGTTTTCTTTTTTGGTTTCATTCTTTCCAGCAATGTTTTTTCTTTGTTTTCTCAACTTTGGTCAAATCTGTGGGACGTGGATCAGACCTCCCGAATGATAAGATAAACAAATGCATGGGTGACCCAGAAGCTGATGTAGATAATCCACTCCTCAAAACTGAACAAGATCTTCAGGTTTTTTTTTTCTTTCTTTATTTCTCTATGGAGGAGTACTGTTTACTTCTGGTGACGACATCGACATGAGAGATGGATGGAATGTAAATTTTGTATTCTGAATTCAGGTTGGTGATGGATCGCGTGGCGACATTACAATCTTACCAACTATGGTGATAAATGGTGTTCAATACAGAGGTTAGTTTGACATTGACATTAAAAAATGTGTGTTCTACAGTTTTTTCTTTGCTTTGTTTAGAAATGTGTTAACCTGTGTTATGTGTTGGTAGGGAAGTTGGAGAGGGGAGCAGTATTAAAGGCCATATGCGCTGGGTTCAAGGAGACAACAGAACCTCCTGTTTGTTTGAGCGGAGGTTTTTAATTTTGATCCTTACTAGTTTCGAATTTATTATGTAATATAATGCTCCGCATATCAATCCTAGCTTTTTATAAACGATGATTTGATTTGATTTGATTTGACTGTAACACTTTGAATAAACAGATATGGAGACAAATGAGTGCCTCGACAACAATGGTGGCTGCTGGCAAGATGCAAAATCTAATGTGACAGCCTGCAAGGTACTTTTGATCACATACAAAACTATACCACAAAAAACAAAATGTGATGTCCTGATAGTTAGTTGATTAATTTTGTTCTGATTCAAGGACACGTTCAGGGGAAGAGTCTGCGAATGTCCCACAGCAAATGGAATTCACTATGAAGGAGATGGATATACCTCTTGCCAAGGTTCGTTTTATTACAACGCTTGTGTCTTGATGCCTCTTGTAATTGGCATACTAACTCGACTATTTGCTTCGTCTTGATGCCTCTTGTAATTGGCATACTAACTCGACTATTTGCTTCATCTGCAGCTGTTGGACCAGGAAGATGTGCGGTCAACAATGGAGGTTGTTGGTCCGAAACCAGAAAAGGAAACAAGTTCTCTGCTTGCATAGTTCAGTACCACATAATCACCCTCGATACACTTGTTAATTTGACTCTCGACGAACTACAAAAAACTAAAATCGTACATTTCTTTTGTTTTTACTTAAAATGTATTCCAGGATTCGGATATATCAGGGTGTCGGTGCCCCCCAGGTTTCCGCGGCGACGGCCATAAATGTGAAGGTGCTGCTTTATTCAACCATTTTCTCACCTTTAGCTCAACAGCTTGAACTGATTTTTATTGAAAANNAAAAAAAAAAAAAAAAAGTGCAGATGTGGATGAATGCAAAGAAAGAGTGGCCTGTCAATGTGAAGGCTGTAGCTGCAACAACAAATGGGGTGGATATGACTGCAAATGCAGCGGAGGCAAACTGTACATAAAAGAGCACGACACGTGCATCGGTAATATACGTGTTATCGAGCAAAGCCAATATGCATTTACTATGTGATAGATGATAATTCTCTCCAATTACCGTGTTATCGAGCAAAGCCAATATGCATTTACTATGTGATAGATGATAATTCTCTCCAGTGAACGGTAAATATAACCCGTGTTTTAATTTTAATAACTACAGAAAGGAGCAGTTCGAAATTATGGCGATACCTTTCGTTGGTGGTGTTGGCCGTGGCATTGGGTGTCGGATTGGCTGGTTACATATTCTACAAATATAGACTAAGGGCAAGTCCAGAATATGAATACTATTTGCTTTATCTTTCTTCCTTTTGGCTATAGAAAAATTCAATTGGCATTTTATCTGCTGTGCAGTCATACATGGACTCAGAGATCATGGCCATAATGGCACAATATATGCCATTGGATAACCAACAGAATCTGGTCGTTCATCATCGGGATGAAGCCGAGCCCCTAAGACAATCTCTCTCCTCAGTCTGAAGGTGAACATTTTCAGATGAACATACAGAATATGAGGCCTCCAAGTTAAAAAATCACATAAAGTTGAATAGGACCTCATCCTGTCTCTGTACACAATGATTTTCTAAATTCTAACAAACACATGCATGGGAGAAAGAGGGATTCCATGTGACTAGCATCCATAGATTTTTCAGAGTTTTATGTAAGGTTTTACTCTGTTCTTGTCATGGTGAAGAAAGAAAACACAAGCACAGACGAAGAATAAAGGTTTCATTTCTTGAGCATAAGTACTACAAGCAATGGTACACCCTCTTGCCGCAGAAAATAGCACATAACATTAAACTATTTGACACTAATAACAACATTACAACCTTCCGCATAAAACATTATCAGAACAGGTTCATGATCCAGATACACCAGCATCCCCAAGATGTGTAATATCGAGACAAGTTATAATTGATCTTACTGAGGTTAATAATACACAGTAGATTCACAAATCAACTTCATAAACGTAATATTTTTCACACTTGATAAGAAGTTGATTAGAAAAAAAGATAAATTTCCTATTGCCATAGGACTTTCGGAAGATTAAGTCCCTACAGTGCAAATAGGAATCAGCTCTCTATCTTGCAGATTTCCAGGAACGCTGCAAAAAACTAGGCAGGTCTTCATTTTGGAATTTTTAAGTAATTGGCCAAAAATAAATTCAATTTTAAGTAAGTGAATGTTGCATAAATAAAATACAACCGCAACCATCAAGTAACTCAAACAAGTCAAGTGAAAACTGAAAGGGGAAGCCAGAAAATCCCAACATGACTATAAAATTCAAAGGATCTGAGAGGAATTGGGTAATCCAGACAACCATAAAACTCCATGCCTATATAGAAAATGAAGAAATATCAGAATTCAGAATATCTTCCACTCCCACATATTGTGACTTGTGCATCAGCAAGATCACAACATCAATTTACCGAAGGGAGAACATTCACGCACATAAATAACAACAATCAGCAATCCATATCAGGTATAAGATATTAAACTGCAATTAACCGTACATTGGAACAAGACAACTCCAACAACCAGCTCACTAACTTAAGTTTTCCAAATTTAATAAAGACAAAAACAATCAGAATCCTCACCTAGAAAGGAATGAAATACAACATTGAAAGCCAGCATTAACCTCTTCACAGGATTACCGTGCTTATCTCTTTCTACCGCCACGTTCCCTAAGTGAAAGAGATAATGTATCTCCAGGTCCAACATTGTAATGAGCAAGTGATAAATTGTCCTTGAGGAAGCCTGCCTTCCCACTCAGCTTCTGTTTGTTTGCAGGAAGCTGGATCTCGCCCGCAATTTTCTCTTTCAAACTGCCAACTGTTTCAGACAAGGATTGGACAGTTATCTCCAGTACCTGCCCCTTCAGATTTCCTTCATCAATATTCGGCACAGATATACTGATACGAGAAGGACCCTGAAACCATTCCATAAATACAACTTATTACTAAAAAATTATACACGACAACATATTATAAATTTATTATATATCATACCAAATGTTGTGCCAGGAATTGATCTTCAGGAATAAAAGCAGAGTCATCAAGTTTTTGCTTCTTAGGCTCTGGTTCTTCAGGCAGTGGTGGAGGCGCCTCCTCGGGTGGAGGAGGTGGCATCATGCCTTGAGGCATCGGTGGTGGAGGAACCATAGGCATGCCTGGTTGGGACATATGAATAAAGGGCCTCGGACCTGCCAAAGGGTTAAACTGTGCTCCGGGAGGTGGTGGAATAATAGGATTTGGCTGCATCGGAAGATGGTTTGCCATAAGATGCTGTCCATGCATCACTGGCATTGGAGGTGATGGCCGTATAGGAGTAACCATACCGACAACTGGAGGGCCAGGAGGTGGTGGTGCAATAACACCAGGACCGGCTGGATTGGGATACTGGAGTAATGTAGAAGGTCTAGGAATATTCAAGGCAAGACCAGGAGGTGGAGGCAGTGGCCTAATTGATGGCATACCAGGCTTAGGAGGAGGAGGTGCAGGACCCGGGAGGCTCCTACCGTCATTGTTCAAAGCATCATTCATGTCCTCGACACCCGTGTTCTGAGACATTGCCTGGCTAGCGGTTCGGCCGATACTTCCCGTGTGACCATCCCATATTACCTGCTTTGGTTGCTCATCTTTCTTCTTTTCTATCTCAGCCATGACAGCGTTCGACACTTCTTCCTCTGTAGTCCCAAAAATATCAGGCCGGGTTCTGGCAAGTCCCATGATATTCCTAGAAATCTCGTCATCTGCAGCGAGGGTCGTCTCTCTGATCTTAGCAAACATCCTCTCCTTCTGCTCCTTAAACTTGGGGTCGATAAGAGAAATTCTCATGTGTTCAGACATTTCATCGATGCGAATAAGCTCTCCGGTAATTGGGGAGACAACAAACTTAGTGGGATCTCTTTCGGCCGGGATTCTCTCCTCGGGTCTCTTCCAGTTTTTCACAATTCTCATGGGTGGTTCTTCTTCAGGCGTTGCCCTGGCCTCTTTATTCTTCATATCACCATTCTCTTCCAGGTTTGCGGCCCTCATACCCTCCTCAACGAGTTGGACCTCCTCTTCATCCATCTCCATTTCTACCTCCTTTTCAGGTTCAACAATATCTTCTTCCATAGCAGACATCTTGCTTCTCCTTATCACTTCTTCGAGCGTCATTGGAGGAGGTAAATCATCGTCCTCGTCATCAGCGAAATCTATTGACGTAACCACAACAAAATCGTGCCAATCAATCATGGCCATCTGCAGTCGCTCCTGCTCTATCTCGTCTTCAGCTTTCTGCCTCGCTTGCTCTTGCGACCGTTCCCATTCAAGGCGATGCAAGCAACGCTCGAGTACAGTCGTCATATCAGCAACACTATTTCTGAGCTTATCTGTCAACCCTTTAGGAGGCATCAAAACTTTCGAGTAAGCATCTGCGAGTGATGTAAAGAACATGAACATACTGTGTGTCGGCCTCATAAAATGGAACTGAGGATTCGTGCTCTCTCTGCTAGTCAAACCAGTCAAAAATGACTTTCCATTACGGGCCACAAACTGAGCAGTGAGCTTAATTATATCCAACTCCTCCCCAGTAATCCCTTCAGGAAGCCGAACAGTGTATTGCTCTGCCTCTGGCGGCTCAAGCACCTTACGAACAGGACGGAATTGGGCTGAAGGATCAGGCTTAGATGAAACATCATTTGCGTCGGCAGTGGGAGCAGTAGAGGCTGACTCAGGAGCAGGCTCAGCCGCCTCAAGCGGCTGCTGCTGGCCAGAAGATTGATTCTGTGCTCGGGCTTCAGACAGACGATGCTGATAATAAGCATGGTAGGGATCAGAGGCACGTAAAAAGTTAAATTTTGCATTTCCTTCATTGTTTGCAATAATCCTTTTCTCAAACTCTGGCCCATTCTTAGCCACAAACTGAGCAGTTTTGTCTACAATATTTCTGATGTCTGGAGGTGGGTATATAATCCCGATTGTCCTCGTATGGGTTGCTACCGATGCTGGAGTTGGGGTCGATTTATCATTATCTTTATCCAGGTCTTCATTTACCTCATTATTTGAGTCCTCAGTCACTTGAGCAAGGGGTGTCGGGCCAAGATCTCCATCAGCAGGAGGTGCCGGAAGTGGAAGTATAGGTAAGGAACCCAGCATATTCAACCTGATAATAACAATCAATGTCAAATATGATAAGTAGCAATTCCAGAAATTTAAAAGAATAAATTGTCTACGAAAAAAGCAAAAATCTATAAAAGAAAATCCTTTATACCAAACCAGAAATGAGAAATCTCTCAAGATGGCTCTTAGTATAATTAAATCTTCATCTTAAGTTCAAACATTCTATTCAGAACTAATATTCACTTCCCCAATAGTTTCTATATTCACTTCA